TCCAAGTTTCTTGGCAAAAATATCGATACAAGTAGCAGATTGATATTAATTTTGGTCAATTTTGGAAAATGCTCAAAGAACTTGGACACTTGCTCCAATCAAATGGCCCCTTTTCATGTTAAGAAGGTAAAAGTCCTTGCTCTGGGATTACATTTCGATTTTGCCAGTGTGTAGATTCACTTGTCTGTGCAAAATGCTAAAATGCTATTTCTTGTTTGCTGGCAGAATTTTTAATCAATGAAGTATTTCTTCAAAATTTTGCAAACACTTTTGTAAACATCCTCAACTCCCAGGTCGTTGAAGTCCCTGAGTCTTCTCTTATTCACCTGACCAAATTGCAGCACTGGATAAACACAACTCTTCACTTACTTCTGCATCTACACCTCTTTGACTAAATATGAGTGGATTAAAACACAAAATTATACTCATAGATAACCAGTAAAATTTATGACCACTGCCCTGAAATGGACCTTTGTGCTGCTCAGAAATCCTGTTGTCTTTCTCTTTCCACTCACTATTCCACTCTCTTATAACCAGTTCAGATGCACTCCACTCTTCTCACATCCTTTGCCATCTTTACTCTCAGTTGATAACTGTGATTCCTGTTTTCACTGAGACAATGGGAGCAATCAAAAGAAAGTTTCCACTATATATTTACTCATTTGTCTCCCCGACTAGAATGTGAGAGAAGGGACTTTATTTCCAGGACCTAGACTCATGCCTGTGCCATATTGTGTGCTCAATTTTTGGTTGGAAAAAAAATAGATAAAGGTAAGAAAAGGAGGATAAAATACTCCTATAAGAGTCCTGAAAAGGCTCATGTTAAGTAACTCTGGTGCCCAAAACTGAATCAACAGCAAGTCTACTATATCTGAGTTCAATGATCTACGCCCAATTTATTTTGGTATTACTGTGTTATCATGTCATCTTATCCATTATTTTCCAAAAATTCCATGGTTCCTTTACTTGATTTAATAAGTTCAAAGACAGACGCTTATGCCAATATTTTAAAACATACTTTCCTACGCTGCTAGCTTCAAGATATGGTAGAATGATGACTTAATGGCATAAATATTTTATTTCCATTGAATTTTTATTGTTAAATGTGCAGTTCACATGAATAATATAAAGTAGCTCATACACACCATTCATAGTTACATTCTACAATACTTTTTCAGTAATCTGCTATGTGTTTGGAAGATACAGAGAAGTCTCAAAATAAAAGTCTATTTAAAATAAGCTCATCTACAGATTCTGGCACTAGAAAGAGATCTTTTTCTCTAATGCTTTTCACAATGGAGTCTGATTTTCCCTATAAATTCTAATTTACATGTCTATCAAACCCATAGTTAAAAAATCAAGTGGTTTGAGTTGTCTGGAGCTTATTCAAATATCATTTTTTATACAAATGAATTATTCATTTCAAAGATCCTGTGCCTTACAAAGAATTCTGTGATTCTGATGTGGGGATGCAGATAAATGGAGAGGCATTAATTTCAGAAAGAAAAGTCAACCCTTCACTATCAGCACCCTTTCCCCAACTTCATTGCAAAATGTTGCTGACTTTCATTTTCCATAAATAGACATGTAGTTACTGACACCACCACTTAGGTTCGGCCGGTCAAAACTGCTATGAAAATACTGTACTTTCTTTGGCCAACTTCAGCTGTGCCATGAAATCACTTAAAGCAAATGAGAGAAAACAATAATCACCTAGTGCAAATACAAATGCATATTTTTTTGAGAGGAAAAGACTATGACATTAAAGCTTTTTATTCAGCCTGGTTACCATTCATGTATGAAGGCAAGAAAAATTTGTTTGCATAATATGTTAGGTCACAAATCAGGTGCCAATCATTTACCTTTTGTTTTAAAATATACAACTTTAAGACATAGATCATTGTTAGCTATAGAGCTTTTTATTTTCAATTTTTGTGGTTGCATAGTAGGCGTGTCTATTTATAGGTACATGAGATGTACAGGCATGCAATGCATAACAGCCTCATCATGGAGGATGCGGTATCTATCCCCTCAAGCATTTATCCTTTGTATTATAAACAATTCAGTTAAACTCTTTTAGTTATGTAAAACTCAAAACAATGATCTCAGGGACATAGAGAGTAGAAGGATGGTTACCAGAAGCTGGGAAGGGTAGTTGGGGGTAGGGTAGGGGGATAGTTAATGGGTACAAGAAAAAATAGAATGTTATAGGCTTTTTATAGACATTCCTTATCAAATTGGAGAAGTTCCCCTCTATTCAAAGTTTACCGAGAGTTTGTATCATGAACAAGTGCTGGATTTCCTCGCTTTTTCTGTGCTAACTGGCATAATCATGACTTTTCTTCATTATCTCATGAATTACATGTTTATATGGTAGATTACAGCAACTGGTTTTTGAATGTTAAACCAGCCTTGCATATATATGTGGGATAAACTCCACTTGGTTGTCATGTGTAATTCTTCTTAGACATTGTTGGATTCAATTGTTGCAGAGGATTTTGAATCTATATTCATGAAAAATATTGGTCTGTAGTTTTCCTTTCTTGTAATGTCTTTTTCTGGTTTTGCTATAAGGGTAGTGCAAGCCTTAGAACAAGTTAAGAGAGCTGCCTCTGCTTCTATTACCTGGAAAAGACTTGAAGAAATGGTATTATTTCTTCCCTAAATGTATGGTAGAGCTTACCAGTGAAACCATCTGCACCTGGTCTTCTCTTGGTTTTGGAAATAGATAAAGGGCAATTGAGGTTTATCTATCTCTCCTTGTGTAAGTTTTGGTTATTTGTGTGTTTCAAGGAACTGGTCTGTTTCATCCAATTTATCGACGGTAGCTTTAGAGTTGTTGGCAGTAGCCCCTTACTCTGTTTGAATGTCCATGGGATGAGGAATAGTGGCCCTTCCTTTATTTCTGATATTGGTGGTTTGTGTATTTACCCCTTTTTCTCAGTTAGCCTGGCTACAAGTTTACTAACTTGAATCAACTGTTCAGAGAACCAGCTTTGGGTTTTGATGATTTTTCTCTAATGTTATCCTCTTGCCTATTTCATTGATTTCTGTGGTAAGGTTTATTTCTTGTCTTCAATTTGCTTTGGTTTAAATTGTTTTTTCTTTATCTAGTTTCCTAAGGAAGAATCTGAGGTTACTGATTTTATGTCTTTCTTCTTGTCTAATATATGCATTTAATGTTACGTATTTCCCTCTAAGCACTGCTTTTGCTGCATCTCACAAATTTGATAAATTGTATTTTCATTTTTTCTTTAGTTAAAAATATTTTTCTGACTCATCTTAAGGCTACTTCTTTGATTTGTGAGTTATTTAGAAACATGTTTAATTTCCAAATATTTTGGGGTCTTCCAGATATCTTTCTGTTACTCATTTCTAGTTTAATTTCACTTTGGTCTGAGAATATACTTTCTAAGATTTATATATTTTAAAATGTATTAAGGTAGGTTTTATGACCCAGAATGTGATCTATCTAGTGAATGCTCCACTCCATGTGAGGTTAAGAATATGTATTCTCTGGCTGTTAGATGGAGCACAATGAATTTTAAAACAAGCAAATGAGCATTAAACCTAAATACTATTAGCAGACTGTTCAATTTAAAAATAGTATTTATAGTTATCTTAAATTTCCCAGGCACTGAGTCTATGTGTAAAGGCATTATAAAACAGGCAGTATGGGTCCAAACTGAATACTTTATTCGATCTTCAAAGTACAAATAAATTTTTCTATGTCATACTTTGGTTTGCAGGCTATAAAAATTCTCCTCTTGCAATTTGATGTTAAGCAGAAACTGAGCAGATACAATATTATATATGTGAGTTCCTATACAAGGAATAAACTTAATGTGATTTTTTTCTATAATTATGATTACACTTGAAAATATTAAAGCTTCTATGCCAGCTTTTAAAAAAGAAGGAAAGGCAATGTTTGCCAAATGCAAAGAGGAAGACATTTTATTTTTAGTTTCCTAAGAGATTATTAAAAATAACATTTCATAAAAACTACCTCTAAGGTTACTCGAAATTCTTCATTTACATGATGCCAGTTTCTAATTTAAACATAATTGGAGAGAATAAATTCGGAATAAATTACATAGAAAAGGAGGTAAAAACACACACCACTGACCAGTGGTTTCTATAGAAGTCTCTTTGACTATGATAGCCAATAAGACTACAGTCAGAAGGTTTGCATTTTGCCAGCTACTCTTCTGATGACAAAATTATTCTTTCCATAATCTAGCAACATTTACCCTAGGGACTACACAACAGAATAAATAAAAGCCGAAAAGTAACTTGAAAAAGTCAACTATTACAACTTTAATTAATTCAACAAACTTCAATCAACTAACCAACTGAGCTCTAGTTAGATTTCACCCAAACCATCCCACCAATTGTTACATTTTTGTTCTAAAGCTCACCATGGTATGAGGTGTTGAAATTCCAATTATATTGATTCAAAATTAACAATGCTCAGCCGGGCACCATGACTCATGCCCGTAATCCCAGCACTTTGGGAGGCCAAGGTGGGCAGATAACTTGAGCCCAGGAGTTCGAAACCAGCCTGAGCAACATGGTGAAATCCTGACTCTACAAAAATTAGCTAAATATGGTGGCACACTCCTATAGTCCCAGCTACTCAGGAGGCTGAAGTTGGGGGACCACTTGAGTCTGGGAGAAGGAAATTACAGTGAGCTGAGATGGTACCACTGCACTCCAGCCCAAGCAACAGACTGAGACCTTGACTAAAAAACAGAAAAAAAAACAATGCCGTATAAAATTTCTTACTCACACTATAAGTTAGCCAATCAATATTGCAACTTTGAATAGTCATACTATTTCTATTCCAACAATACGATAGAATAAAACAGATTCCAAGCAATGTAGCAAAAGAAGGGCTGCATAGTAGAATTTTGTTTTCCAGTTCAACCAGCAGAGATAAAATAATAAGATCTTTTAGCAACAGCCTAATTTTTCGGTGTAGTAATTCTTTTGAAAATTACCTTTTGTTGAATCATCCTCTATTGGCTGTTTGAACAACGTAATATCCTTGAAAGTACACAGGAACAAGACCACCTTTTCGTGTTCATTTCTTATTGGTGCAATTTGCATATAAAACCAAACAGGGGTTCCTGTAACAGAGAGGGGGAGGGGAAAGGACATTAAAGTGTGACATGGCCACAGCAGTGGTCTGGTCTCTGCCTGCCTTCTTCCTTTAGCTGCCAACGGCTATGCCAGGAATCAACACCAAAACAATAGTATATTAATTACTATAAACAATCAATAAGCCTTGAATTTTATATCAACTACCAGTTGTTCACATTTAACAAACACAGTATTCAACCCAAAATATCAAAAGCCTAAAGTAAAGCGCAGGCTGTCATTTCAAGATGCCCGAACACAAAGGCAGTCTTGCTGCTTAAGCCATCCCAGCATCATCGGTAGGTTTGTGTCCCTCAACCACTGCTGCTCTCACCACCTTTCTTTTGAGATTCTTACCAACTATGATCACTCCCACCTGCTTCAGCTTCTCTCTTCTTGTCACTTTGACAAGCATTTCTAATTAACTGCAACAGCCATACCTGATCCTCTAATAAGCATTCCTCTTGGAGGAACATCTAAAATGCTGTTTCTATCCCAAGGCTCTCTCATCAGTCAGATAGACTTATATGATAGCTCTACAGTTTTGACTGCATCCCCACACCAGAGAAAAAGGATGTCAGCAAAACTTGATGCCTGAGGTACACAGAGCTCTTCCTGAAACCGTTAAGGCAAGCTGAAGGAAAAAAAGGCATGTCCCCAGCCTTTGAGATCCCCAGGCATCTTTTCAAGCCACTGCTTCCTACCTCCCTCACTCCAAGAGCATGAAGCTGGACTCTATCACCACGTTCTTTAAAGGATGGCTACTGTAGACTCTGTCCTCTAGGACAGAGGGTTTCAAAGCATTCAAGGCTTATAATTTGAACAAGTCAGGAACTGGTACATAAGAAATAAGAAATATGTGAAAATACAAAAAATGCCCTCAAAGGTGTAATTATCTATTAGTGATAAACACTGAGGGAAGGTTCCATTACAATCAAAGAGACACAGCTACATTATAATCACAAGCATATTTCTCATAGTTTCTTCAAGCTACAGTGCAGTAAAGCCCCTCCAAATATTCTATTTTAAGACATAAAGGTTTTTGTAAAGTTTAGAATTTGGGGAGCGAAATGTACAGCTATTAATAGTCTGTAGGTAAGAGCTGATAGCCTTTTAGTGGCTTCCAATGAGAACGGAAAAAGAACCACTTCTATTCCCACGGCCTAAAAAAAATTTAAAAAAAAAAAAAAAAGTCACCTAATGTCACCACAAAGGGGAATTTTTCATTTAGACAAGATGAGATAACTACTAGGCTCAAGTAGTCAGAGAATTAGAGAGAGGAGAATTCTATGGGAATATTCAGTTGTGACAATCAGGTTTTTTGCAACCCCAGGGGGCCTATGGAAGAGCTGGCCATTTCCAAAATGATGGTAGAATGAGATAGGGACCTCAAAAATAATCACATCATCTCCCAGAGAGGCTTGTCCATTTTTTTCTGTTTTCTTATTTTACACAGGATGTCCAGGAACTGTGAGTGATGTGCACAGTTTTACAAATCACCAGACCCAAATGTTAGTGGATACGTGACCTATGGCTGTTTCAACACAGTGAGCTTGAGGCAGAAGGGTCATAAACAAAGAGAAAAGGGCATTAAAAAATAAGTCATTTTCCAAGGTCTGTTAGAAATATGAACAGAAACAGATGATGTTAAATTTCATGCCTTCCTCTGAAAACTGCAACTTTTCAAATTCTGGCATAGAGTCTGAGCTCTCTGTAAAACTTCTTTAAATATGAAGGTAACTGTTCTTCAACTTTCCAAGCCACAGGGTCAGACTTCCCCAAGTAGGCTGAGTATTGCCAAGCATCTGGTGATAGATCCTTCATATTCTGGATTTGGGGTTCAGGGGGCTTGGGAGTCTGGAAGTATTAAGCAGAGGAACCTGCTGCTGCTGAAACTCGGTGCAATGCTCCAGCATTGATGATCTGGAGATGCTTCAGCTGTCAGTTCTACCTTTGAGTACACAGAAAGAACTATTTTAAGTCATCATCCCAGAGCTACCATTTCTTTTCCCACCGTAGAAACAGCCCCCTGCTAATCAGAGCACTGGACCTACAGAGCAGAGGCTGCAAACTGAAATTTCAATGGTGATGTATATTCAATCAGATGCCTCAATTCCCCCATTTGCAAAATGGTGTTTAACCTAATCACTAAAGTATTGGGAGGACTTGGCATGTACGCATTCCCCAAAGCAGTCTTGGGACTAGATAGAAGTATCTATTACCAAATACTTGACAGATACTCATGTCTACAGATGTGAATTTTTCTACCTAACATTTTTTTAACCACAAAAATGTAATTTTTTCAGATCATGTTCAAAAACTTTCAGCTATTTATAAGACTTTTTAAAAGCTGCATTTAAATAGCAGAACTCCATTACAATACATGGGTAACACCTATCCTTTACTAAAGAGGAAAACAAAAACAAAACCCAGTGTAGATAGTACACAGAAAGGAGACACGAGTTTTAATCTACAATGCTATGTGGTGTATATCCTATTGGCTATAAGCAGGCACTTACCTACACAGAGAGTTATCTGGAAAGAACCAGATAGCCCTGAACAATGGTCAGATAATAATTTCAGTCCATTAACATAAGGCCAAATATCTAAACTATCTTGGAAGGACTTCGAGAAATGTAAAATTTAGGTAATTACAAACATGATTTAAAGTAAATAAACAGAAATTCCACTAAGATATTTTGTTGTGGTGGTTGTCACTACAGGGTCTTGCTCTGTAACCCAGGCTGGAATGCAGTGGCATGATCATAGCTCACTGCAGCCTCAAACCCCTGGGTTCAAGCAATCCACCTGCCTCAGCCTCCTGAGTAGTTGGGACTATGGGCATGTGCCACCACACCCAGCTATTTTTTTTTGGGAGGGGGGTAGAAGAAGGGTCTTGCTATGTCACCTAGTCTAAGGCAGTTTTTGAGAAACTCAGGAACTATAGACTTGTCTTTGAGGCTGTAAAGTCAGGCCAGTGTTTGTTTATTCTGCTTAAATATCAGAGAGTGAATGATCTTAGTAATATGGAATATGCTTACATCATTTGCTAAACTTGAGTACATATCTAAATTATTGAGAGGTTAACAAACTATATGAAAATGAAGGGTTTTTGGTATACAGGTCCCCTACATATTATCAATATGTATTTAGACCTGATGAAAAAGACCCAGAAGCACATACAGCCTGCTTTTTCTCTTGCAGAGGACAGAGTTGATCATTCACAAGGGATTGTTTTCTAGGTGACAAGCCAGTGGACATTTAGCTATGACTTCAAACTGAAATATCTCTTTGGCCTTGATGTAAAATGAAAAATAAGACATTCCTTAAGTAAAATCACTAAAAACAAATGTTTCCATTGTCACGTGCACTACTTTGAGGCAATGCCTAACACTGTTATTCCTTTGTTAGAAGAGGAAGGTTAAAAAGAGAAATCGAATTTTAATTCCAAATATTCCACAGAGAAAAAAATGTCTGAAGTAAATGGAGAGATAAATTATGCTCTATAAGATCCAACAGGCACTGAACATGGAACCGACATTTCCTGTTAAAGCTAGAATGTTTTCCAAACTTGGGAAGAATTTAGTAGCCACCACTGTCCATCAAAGATAATAATGGACTTTGCTATCACGTGCTATTAACGATAAATAATTGACCCATTTATGAACTGACTGTTCGTTTCAAAAATAAAAAAAAGAACAATTTGAGGAAACAGCAAAAAAAAATAAAAGTTAAGTAACCATGCAAATAAAGTGAATTAGAAAGGGGACTGAATTGCTGACTACACTTGGTTTTTGTTGGGTTGGCTTTTTCCTTCCAAACTCTGATGGAAAGTCAGTATCATGAGATATTATGTCATTATATAATGCGTACCTTACCACATACAAATCTCATCCAAGAAAAAGTTCACTACAATCAATACAATCTACCAAATGTGAATGACCTGTTCTGAGAACAATGGCTACTTCTACTAGACCTTTTCACAAGAGTCTGAAGCTGGCAAAAGGCCATACTGGTAGAGATTCCCCTTAAGTAGCTACTACATATTCACATTGCCTATGTTTGTGTAGAAAGGTAATTGCACATATCCAATGTTAGCAATTACCGTTTTCTTTAACCACAAGAAGAAATTAATAAATTTATCTGTCTTTTTTAAGTGTTGTCACATAATTATAGGGTCTTTATTATAAGTATCTGTTATAAAATATTTTGCTACCTGATACAAAGTCATATTTAAGATGCATCACATTTTTCTTCCATTCCTCAAAAAGTTGCTTTTCATAGATAGAATTATTTATTAATTTTATTATCTAATTTCACCAGTAACCTCTGCCCCTGCCAAGAAAAGGAGCAATTGAAGTTTTACATGCTCTCTACATTTTAGCTCCACTACGACTTACCAAACATAATATTAATAAAGAATTGGCAAATCTTATTAAGAATTGAGATACCTACTATTTTTCTTGTACAGAAGAACTTCAAAGCAGTTTGACTCGTAGTTGTCAAAAGTCTGCCTGACTTTCTCAATGGTCTTCTTGTCAGTCAATTCCCCATACATAAAACTGGGGGACAAAAAGAAACAATCCATTTCACTTTCATGTTGCCTTTCAAATGCTACAAAAATTACATAGTTGTCTTTGATTAAATAGTCAAATGTGGTTACAAAATATAATGTTGCTCCTATATAATGAACTAAAATAGTCAAATCATGAGAGGCAGTTCTTGCTTTATGCAGTTCCTGTATGCACAGATTTCAGTTACAGTGGTTTAGCTCAATAACACCAGTTCCACAACATAGTTCAAATTGCAGTTACCAAAGTATTTAACTCTGAGTAATTGCACAAAGTGCAAGCTTTGCTGCTTGATCTTCAGTCTACAGATCACTAGAAAATAACAGATGCACGTTCACAACTAGTAACTGATCACATCGCTTCTTTCAAAGCCTGTCAGTATTGGTAACAGCACAGCTGTTATTCAGTTCACGCACAGACAGAAAAGCATGTAATCATATTGCCTCCTTGTCTCTAAGTGATAAACCCACGTGACATTTTACAAAAATGGATAATCAAAAGCAGTAATTATCCAAAAAAATTAAAATCCACCTAAGAAATGAAAAATAATAATGTTGGAAGTGGAATTCAAACTGAACATAAATGAATTTATAAGAGAAATAAGTGACCTTGGAAATGTAGATACTGCTGCCATTTGGGAGACTCTAGATAGGCAGCCAAAAGGACTTAGTGAAGGTGAACTTATCAATATAAATGAGGAAAATGGTTGTGACAAAAAGCATGAAGGTTTCCCAGAGAAAGTGACACCAGTTTAAAAACAAACCAAAAAAAAACCCCTCATTAAAGGAGTTTTAGTACATTGTTCACAATAGTGAAAGTGGAAGAACAAAATATGTAATATTTAGTAAAATTATTAAAATAAGATGAAATTAATTCTAACTTGGAAAGGAGGGTGACAATTTTCCAAGAGATCCAAAAGATGCTCTCTTTATACAGAAAATTATATTCTGAGAAGGCAAGTATTGTTTAAATGACTCATGGTAAGTTTTTTAAAAAAGAAATAAAACACTTCCTCCATTCTCAATGTTTCTAATGTTCAAAATCACAGTGTACTAAATAAATATGAGTTTTACGATTATATTCATCTCCCTGTTGGTTATCAATATAACCAACAGTATATTCATCTATATCCATATAAGTTACTATTATATTCATCTCCCTGTTGATCAGTATAACCAACAGGAAGAGAGTTTTTAAGGTTTTGACAAACATTTTTTAAAGATGTTAAAACAATCATAGTTTTTTTACTGAGTATTAAGATCATATTATGTGGTTTCAGCTTGCATGGACCTTGTTATGTTCCCATACTATCAAAAAAAGTGAAGATTGCATATTATACATACAATGCATTGACATTCTCATCATTTCAGAGGATTTTCTTGAGATAGGTACAAGTGTAGCTAACGGGAAGGAAGTAAAGCTGACATCTTGAAGGAATTGTACATTATTACAGTGGATAGAGGAACATATGAAACACAGATTAAGGAGTGAATGTCTACATTTCACAAAACCTTTCTAATGTTTGACGTTCTCTATTTTTCTAAGAGAACCTTGGCAAAAGTCTGATCATCTACATAACAGAGCTGACTCAAGAAAGATCTGTCTCTAAAACTCCATTCTCAATGCTTTCAAAAGCATCAGTTGTGCATCTGGTTTTAGATGCACAGTTCTACTGATTAGTATGATTGTCCAGACCATTCACCAGGAAAGAAAATGTGTCATTACTATATACCTTAACTAAGATTTTGAAAAGTCAAATGTACATATTTGTTATTGCTTTTCTTTCAGTTTTCAAAGAGTTTATATATTGACCAGAGGCAGATCTAAAGTGTGGTGGAGTCTGAAGCTTATAAAATCTGTAGAGCCCTCCCTAAGAAAAAGAATACAAAATTACAAAACAAGATTAGGAACAGACCCTCAGAAGGCATCCACTCAAATGAGGGCCCCTGAAGGTTCAGATTCATTATCTTCACAGAAAATCTACACCTGAAGATATCAATCAATACAATTTACAACCTAAAAGGCCTAGTTTGTCAGCAAAATCCAGTAATGATGCACAGGATTCAATAGCAGCACCACACTACAACGGGAAATTACAGGGTAACTCAAGCCCACCTCTGTAACCCAGCCTAAGCAACTAGAACTCTAGAAACTAAGAAATGAAAGTAGATAAGGCAGATCAAAGATTGCCCAAGCATTAAGAAATCTGAATCCTTCATTTTTAATATATTTAATTTATAAAGAAAAGATTTAATTGTCATTATAATAATAAGTAAAATATATCAGAATAAAATGACAGGCTCTAATTCCATAATCTTATATCTAGACTAAAACAGGAAGCCTCAAAGCATACCTGCAAGCTGGCATTGAAAAGCTACTGTTCCTGTCAAAGCTGAAATTTCAGCTCACGTAAGTTTTATAAAAATCTCTTGAAGGCATTACAATCAAATTAGAGTTATTCAGCTAAAGAACATAAAGCTACTCTTCTCCAAAAAAAAAAAAAATAGCTTAATATTGTACATAATATTTTTATAGACCAGTGAACTTTTTAATTAGTCAGTTTTTTACTTTTATTTTTAATTAAAGAACCATTAGTAAGACAAAGATTTTAAAAATCAAGATAAGTGCAATTAAACTAAGAAAAAGAAAGAAAAGAGAGAGAGAGAAAGAAGAGAAAGAAAGAAAAATAAAAAGAAAGAAAGGAAGAAAGGGAAGGGAAGAAGGAGGAGGAGGAAAGGAGGAGGAGGAGGAAGGAGGAAGGAGGAAGGGAGGGAGGACATTTTACCACTGCTACTAAATGGCAGGTTTCGATGGTTCCATAAACTGAGACATAATATTCACAATTGGTTAACAGAAAAACAAAATAAGAAAGTATTTATAATATAACAAGCAGCTAGGATAAATGCAACCCAGATTGACGTAACACATTGGGTAAATGTTGTCTCCAGCTCAGAACTGGCCACAAGCACAGAATCATAAAAGTTAGTAAGAGGTGGACTGAGATCTGTAATCAAAGGATCAAAAAAGAGAAAGCCCAAGAGAGGGGAAGTTAAGGAGGAAACATTAGAAACAAATAAGACTGGGGCTGGGCGTGGTGGCTCATACCTGTAATCCTAGTACTTTGGGAGGCCAAGGCAGGCAAGCCACCTGAGGTCAGGAGTTCGAGACCAGCCTGGCCAACATGGTGAAACCTCATCTCTACTAAAAATACAAAATCAGCCAGGCATGGTGGCACATGCCTGTAATCCCAGCTACTTGGGAGGCTGAGGCAAGAGAATCATTTGAACCCTGGGAGGCGAAGGTCGCATTGAGCTGAGATCACACCATTGCACTCCAGCCTGGGCAAAAAGAGCAAAACTCTGTCTCAAACAAAAAAAAAGAAAAGAATATAGTTTTCAAAATCTGAAAGAAGTAATTTTGGAATAAAACAAAGACATTCCTTTATACAAAGGATCATAACCAAAAGGTTTGACAACCCATTGATTTATATGGTCTTCAAAGGACTTCAATGGAGTAATAAATGGTAGGTTTATAAGATGTAATTAAGAAAAAACAGGACTGTATATCTCTAACCTTTGGAGTCTGACATCACCAAGGGACCTCTGCCCTTCAACACTTTTCATCAGTTTCACCTTGAGAAGCACAGCCCTTAGCCAAATGGAGCCAGGCTGACTGGTTTTCATCATGTGTCACGTGCTCTTGGTAGCTGCTGAGATAATCCTGTGTTCATAAAACTGCTGTGAAATCCACCCAGTAAAGTGTTTCTTAATGTCTATGACTCATTGCCTAACTTGATGGAGTTGGATAAAGGATTATAAACGGCCTTCAAAAACATGTATTTGAGAGCATCTATCTCTATCTCCCCCTCAATCCTCCCTACTTAAACTACCTGATTGCTTTTCTCACCCCTCTATTCAAAACAAAACAAAACAAAAAACCAGCAGAATAGGCTCTTACAAGTTTCAGGTTAATTAGAAGTAAAATGCTAAAGTGGTTCCTACCTAACCTATGACAGATTATCCCTGTATATCCCAAATGTCAGAGCTGCTATAGGTCATGAGATAAGATCATATGCTTTTAAATGTCATCCTCCCAAAATCTATAATCTCTTTTAAACATGCAATACTTGTCATTTCCTTCAATAAACAACAAAATAGTCCAAATGCGTGAAAAACACAATAATCAGACAGTAAAATGGACAAGGTTTGAAATTCCTGGGATACTGAAAGTGTCATAGTGTCATAATTTTAGCTAAAACAAAAATGAGGCAATACCCAGCACACATCAGATATTTTTAAATAGGAATTTCAGTACCATTATGACATAGCAAGGATGAAAGAAAGCCAGAGCCCTCACTAACAGCTGCTGAGAGTGGAAAGAGAAGTCTTCTATGGGCAACAATCTTACAGCAGTTAATTTACAAATTCTGCATATATTCTATTCTCCAGCAATCCCATTTCCGGAGATACAGACAGAAAACTTCTCAAAAATGACCACAAGAAGATGTGTAGGAAGATGCTTATTTCCAAGTTGTTCGAGGTAGCAAAGTGTCAAAGTTAGATTCCAGGACTAATAGAATGTATAAATAGAATGAAGGCTGTGAAGACACTGGAACACTAGACAACAATCAGACGTGATGAACAGATCATCATACGGTAACACAAAGAAGTCTAAAACCATAATGTAGAATGAAAAGAGTAAAAAAACACACATATTACAGTGTGGTGGGAATTACATAGATCTTAAAAACCAACATTAGCAAAGCAATATCATGCCAAGAATACACATATTTAATAAACAAACAGAACACAGATTAGAAAGATGTACAATAAACACACTCAAGAGTGAATAACCATAAAAGGAAGAAGGGGAATGAGATGAAAGGGAAAAGAAGTAAAAGGGAAAAAAAATTAAATAAAATAAAGAGAGGCCTTGCTTAGAGAGAGCAAAATGATAATATTGTGACAAATTGAAGAGTATGTTTAATTTGAGTCTTTGTGTCTGGTCCAATGCAGGAGGGGTTGAGAAGGACAAAGAAGGAAAAGATAAGAAAACAGAAGAAAGAAATATTAGCCACTTGATATTATAAAAACACAAATTCATGTGTTTTTAATTTTACCATAAAACAATTCACTTTTAAACATTTAAAACTATGGCATGTAATCATTTACTCAGTTGCCGATTTAATCCTATAGACTTTAATTCATCTAATACAAATTGTACACAAAAATGAATCTTTTTTCTGAGATACATAGTGTTAAAGGTTGTATTTTCCCATATAAAATGAAGCTCGCTGCTTTGTAACTTCTTATTCTCTTATGTCTGTCTAAAAACTTATAAGCCAATATTTTTTAATTATTTACAAGGATTTTCTCAATGTCAAATACTTATCTCCACATTCACTTACAAGTCAGTATTCCGCATACTATAATAACTAAATGTGCATATAATTTTCTTCTTTTCTCTCTCTGTTATTTTGTGTCTCATATTTAAAGGCTTTTCTAGATTTAGTCAGGAAATGGGAAAAAAAGGCCATATGTAAAAGAATTTGAGTCATGATGCAAACACTTTTATAAACTGCTTGGGGAGTGGTTTGGGGTTTGTTGCTTTGTTTTATTTTAGGGTTTTTTTTTTTACTTGATAATATGTTGTTAGTTTTTTCCAGTGTCATTGTCCTTCCGGCATATACAATATATGATGTAGATGAATAGGACTTTGCCAACATATTTTTTAACAAAACCTGCTACTGGACATTTTGATTATTTCCAGTTCTTCAGTCTTCTAAATAATGCTATAGCAAACATAAAATGGATATAGTTTAATTTTAAAAGAGAATGAGGAAGTTTAAAAGGAGAGCATTTTAAAATAAATCACGCTTCCAAGAAAAACTGACAGAAGTCAGATGTTTGCTTATATATCAGATGCTAGTCTTCCTTGTTCTGTGAGGGCATTAAAGGGGTTGCGATTTTTAGATTAACAAAACATATTTGGCATTTTGTGCAAGTAAGTAATAATTGTTTACATTAAGAACATGATCATTTGAAAACATTGTCTCTGATAAGCAAAGACAATTTGGGGAAAGACTCAAACACTTTTCTCTACAGTTAAAAAGCAGGGTATAATCCAAAACTCTCCCACCTCAAATGTCATAACACAGGATGAAACACAAGAAATAACAGTATGCTATATAGAAGCATGTGAGACCTAGGTTAGGGTTTACTGCAAAACAAGCCAATCTAATTCAATAAATACCGACAGAAGACACTGTCTTGTGTGCTGCTGTGCATACAAAAGTGAGCAAGATGGAGTCCCTACTTTTAAGTCACTTACAATCTGTACTTGCATTAGGAGGAGAAAAGCAGCTCTCTCAGAGAAGAAAAGAACTAATATAATCACCAGCACTGATTTTCTTAGTGAATCCTTTGTAGGAAAATTGTACTTGCCAAAGAAAATAGGCTGGGGATAGGGCAGATACATGGGACACAAGAAGGGATGAGAGCAGGACTTAAAAATAGATCCAGATATGAAGAGCAGTACTTCTCAAAAATGGCAACAAAAGCAATAAAGAAATAAGAATAAAAACCCAAGGGATAAGGCGAGTTAGTTTAAGGCCAAATGATGATGTCAACAGAAATACGCACAAGAAACTATGAGGAGTCAGAGAAGGGAAAAACTCATCTTGTTTAGGGAATCATGAATACCTTGAGGTAGAAGATGAGATCTGAGACAAACCTGGCATGAAGATGGGATGTCAGCAGTCCAAGAATAAGAAATGGGTATATGAGTATACCTGTGGTCCCTGGAACTCTCTATGGACCTGTTCCACAGGATAAGGTCTACCATAAAACTCAGCTTTTTCTAACTTAAACTCCCTTCTGGGGGATAGGGGAGGAGCAATGCTTAATACAGACCAACAATATCAGTGATACCAAAGGGATCCTATCAACCAGAGGCCACATATTTTCATCACTCCCATTGACCAGTTTCATACCTAAGAGTGAAGACTGAATATGAGAATGCCTTTAATAGAGGCAAAAAATGAGGATGGCTAGCGGAGCATAGATCAAGGAAGAAAATGTTTGAGCATATTATTTCTCAAGCCTGGATAAGCATCAGAATCATCTAAGCTGTTGGTTAAAAATACTGACTCCCTGCTTGACCCACCCACTTCAGAATCACCTACTGATTCTAATTCAGTAGGTTTAAGTGGGGTGGGAATCTGTTTTTGCAAAATCTATTTAAGTGATTGCTATGTGTAGTCAGGTTTAAATTCAATGGTATAATATAAAATATCTACCTTTCATGATGATGAAGGATATCTGGAGAGAGAAAGAATCATCAACCAATCCCTTCTACATATCAAGGGATCTCTCTCTCTCTCTCTCTCTCTCTCTCTCTCTCTCTGTTTCTCTCTCTCTCTCTGTATGTATGTATGTATATACACAGATATACATGTTCCTCTGATTATTCAGCATCTAGACTATTCTTGACTCATGGCAGATGGTAGGTGATCAAAAAATATTTATTGAATGAATTTATTGATTCACAGATATATATACAGATATATACATAGAGAGGGAGAGAGTCATACACGGGATTGGGTCCAGGATCCCTGCATATATCAAAATCGATGGACACTCAAGTCCTGCAGTTAGCTCTAGGGAACCTACATATATAAAAAGTCAGCCTACTGTACACAAGGGTTTCACATCCCCTTGAATACTGTATTTTTTATCTGTATTCCTCTAATACTATATTTCTGATCCACATTTGGTTGAAAAAATTAATCTATAAGTGACCCACACTGTTCAAACAAGTGTTGTTCCAGGATCAACTGTATACGTATGTAACTATAATATACATACATATATATATATTTATATGTGTGTGTGTTTGTGTGTGTATATATATTTGTGTGTGTGTGTGTGTGTGTGTGTGTGTGTATATATATATATATATATATATATATATATATATATATAAAATGCTTCTCAGCATAAATGGGTAGAAAAAAAAAATCACTGTTTCTCTGGGCAAATCCCTTAACATAGTTCTATCTCAGTTTTCTCATCTGAAAAACAGAGGATGTGGCCTAGAAAAAAAAAAATCAGATCCCTTGTAGTTCTAAAATAACTTGCTTCAGTGCTTAGTTAAGTGAGAGCTTTAAAGAAAAATTAACTCATGGAAAAAACATCCCATCTGGCCTTACTGAAATATTGTGAAGAAGTTTTAGGTTCTAAATTGGTCCCTTATATATAGTTTCCTTTTCTTTTTTCTGATCCCCTTTTTTCTTAATATTCTCGTTAAGCTCACAGAAATGGCATATTTTTTAAAGAACCATTATATATAATATAAATATCAGATTCTGTTGTACGTAAGTCACACAATATACCATTACCAAGTACATGTGGCTTACACAGAATGTAAGAGCTTTATTTTATGTTCTTTACATTCTCATGGACCATGCTCAACTTGGCCAGGTGGTGTTTACTCTGTTTTGTTCAGGACAATTTAGTTGCTCCAAAGGTGCCGTAGATCACATGCTACAAGTTGTTCCCTGATACAAGATGTTCCCAGCACCTAGACTTTCCTGGCTAATGGTAGATGATCAAAAAATATTTATTGAATGAATTAATTAATTCACAGATATATAAAAATCTTTCTTTTGGCAAAAGTTCTCACCAATGGCTCTTCAGTTATATGTTTCCATTGATCATTTAGTCTCCCTAATATTCTAATATAATTTTAAACTCTACAGTTTGTATATGTGAGTACAAGTAAGCTTAAGCATTTTAATTACATTCAGATTTTTGTTACATTTCATAAACGTTTACTTAGCTATTCTATTACCTACCTGCAAGTGCTGCTTTTCTGCATGACGTCAGCTCGATGATATCCAGAGAGTTTACAAAAACCGTCATTACTATAAACTACAGGCCAATCCACAATCTGGGCATTTCCCAGTAAGAAACTTGATTCTGAAGAAGAAAGGAGAAAAAAGGAGGTTGTGTAGCTTCATTCAACAATTCACTTATTTCAAGTAATAAAAGACAAACTCATAAAGATGAACAAACACAACTACAGTTTGTAATTGTACAAATAATATAACCTATTCTTGAAATTGACATAACCAGCTTTTCATGATCATCATATGAGACCTGCAATATCAAATTTATATACAAACTAAAAATTCCATTTAAAAGAAACCAGTTTACAATATTTTTTGCATTCAAGTATACCCTAAGTTATGAAATCAATGTGTAGTTAGTATTAAATAATGTTAATGACTATAAGTTACACTTAAAAATTGGTTAATTTATTAAGATTAGGGCTATAGTCACTTCTCTACAAATTGAGAATACTGATTGATAATAAAGGAAAATTCGATGACCCCCTTCAAAAATTATATTAATATATTGTCGACATGATAGAACAAATTTTTGTCCATTAGGCTGATCTTGAAAAGTCTAATTTAAAACAGGATACAAAAGTCTTTCCTTAAATTAAAATTATTCAAAGATATTTTCAACCACATAATAGAGATAATTTAGAAACTATCAGTATTCTTTTTTTTTGAAACTATCAGTATTCTAAATAAAAGAGATGTCTTTGTTCTATTTCACACAGAAAAGTAGGTTTATTTGTATAAATTAATATAAAATGATTGAAAATCCAATCATATTAGGCAGTAACTTTAGCGGTTTTGTAGACATGTTATATGTCAACATTAAAATGAATATTAAAATATATAAACATTTAATATAAATAATTCAAAAGTAAAAAATTTTTAAAGAACACCATACTTCAAAATTTTACCTAAGAAAATTTTGCTTGAACTGATATTCAGGGTAGTACACTAAAAATATAACAATTTTTTAGCAGAAGACTTTAAATCCTGATTCATAATTGGTCTTCATAAAAATAATAATGCAATTCGGCATTTACTAAGTAGCTGCTGTTTAAAAGGCATTGCTCTGGGTCAAACAGTGGGATAAAATAAAGATTAGTAAAACATACCCTTTGCTCTCAATAAGTGTGCATGTTGAAAACAAATATGTCATAAAAAAAATAACAACTGCCAGGATACATACTAAATAAAGAAGCATGGGATAAAATATGAAGGAAAACAAAATGTTTGAAGCCCCTAGGAAGCTACCGAAAGTAGGCAGAAACTGGAAAAGATAAACTCTTGAAAAAGAGAGGCTATAATAGCTGAGATGGTCATTTAACTGTCTATTCCCCTGAGAACACTTGCCAGTTCGGAAAGTTCATGGTGTGAAAGAGCTCGAGCCGGAGTGTCTTACAAGTCTAAGGAGTCAAATGTCACAATTTGGGGCTGCCAGAGCAACCTGCAGTTGTGGAAATCCTTTAATTGATGGAGTGATAAACCTGACATAATCTACCTCAAATCCTTCTGTGTGGCCCAAACTGGGCATGCATAGGGTGAGGCAGTAAGGAATCCAGCAGAAAGCAACGGTTAAAGGGCTAAAGAGATGGACAGAAATTTTATTAGATCCCCAAAGCTAGAAGATGAATTTCAGAGTTCAAGTCCCATCAAGCTAGAGAAGCTTGAAAAACACCTTAAACTTTCCATCTAAATCACAGGAGGCTACGCATTAGGAGTAAGAAACAAGTCACAGGATGAAGGGATGTGCCCTGGGACTGAAGGCAAAAATGTAGAAAGTAGAACAACATGAAAAAATAATCTTAAAATCAAGTCTCTTCATGATCAAGGTGATCCATTAGTAGTTTAACTGCCTGATTTAAAAAAATGCAACTCTCTTCAGAGATAATGGAATCCCAAATCTCTACAATGTATTGATATAATGACCCAGAAACAATAAAAAATTATTAGATAAGCAAGAAATGGAAAACTCTGACAACTACTATGGAAAAGTAGGCAATAAAAAGAGAAGTCAGTAGGTAAACCAAGAAATAATAAAATCTCTGAAATTAAAAATTTATTGGATTGGTTTAACAGCAGGTTGAACACTAAAAAAGAAAGAACAATTTGAAAACCCATCGATGCAAGCTATTGCAAACTGAAGTAAAAGAGAAAAAGATGTAAGAGATGTTCTATGGGACAATATCAAGCAGTCTAAAATATATGTAGTTGAGTCTTAAAAAAAAGAGAGAGAGAGAGAGAGAGAGAGAGAGAGAGGGCAGCATGTTATTGGATACTATGGTAGCTAAAGTTTTCCAAATAGAAAGAAAACTTGAAACTCAGTAAACCCCAAGAGAGATAAACATAAACAAGCTACAGCAGGAATATGCTTCTTGCTCTTTTGTTCCACATCATCAAAAAGTATTCTATTTTCTGCAAATTGATCTATAGACTCAATACAATCCCAGTGAAAATGACAACAGACTTTTTTGAGGAAACTGAAAAGTTATAAAAGTTTGTGAAAATGCCAATTAACTACAGTAGTTCAAAACAAAATCTGAAAAAGTAGAACAAAGTTAGAGAAACATACAACTATATAATTAAGATAGGTGAAAATGGAGTAAGGGCAGACAAATAAACCAATGAAACAAAATGAGACTCTCACATACAACATCAAGTGATTTTCTGCAAAGATGACAAGGCAACTGAATAGGTGAAGTCTTTTTAAATGAATTTTATTGAAACAACTGGATATCCTTACGAGCAAAAATTGAAACATGACCCCTAACTCATACAAAAAAATAATTTGAAGTGGGTCATAGATCTAAATGCAGAAAGGAAAACTATCAAAGTTCTAGAAGAAAACGTAGAAGGAAATCTTTGCAATAACGAGGAAGACAACAATTTTTTATGTAAGTCTCATAGAGCAATTACCATAAAAGAAAGTGTTAATAAATTCGGCATCATCAAAATTATAGTCAACTACTCATTCAAGGACATTCTCAATAAAATGAAAAGGAAACCTATACCCTGGGAGGAAAGATTTATGATACAGATAACTGAGAAAGAACTCTAATCCAGAATATACAAAATATTCCTATAAAAGATCAAACAACCCAAGTATCAAAATGGGAAAGTAACTTAAAAAGACATTTCACACACAAAAATAATAAACAGCCAGTGAGCACAAGAATAAGATGCTTACAATCATCAGGCATCAGGAAATACGAAATGAAAGCACAAGGATATACTGCTGCTCAATTACTACAATAGTTTTAAAGACTAGCAATACATTGTTGATGAGAATCAAGAACAATTGGTGCTCTTTATAAAATGCTAGCAAAAATGTAAAATGGTATGGTCATTTTAGAAAACAGTTTCTTGTAAAATTAACTATGTGTCTATGACCCAGAAATTTTACTTCTAGGTATTTATACAAGCAAAATGAAAACATATATTTACAAAAAGACTTGTAGGAAAATGTTCACATCAGATTTATTCATAGTAGCCAAAAATTGGAAACACTGCAAATGTCTATTAAGAAGAGAAAGGATTAGAAATTGTGCCATATTTACACAAGGAATAATACTCAGCTCTAAAATGGAAGAAACTTCTGACACATGCAACAATATGACTTCAAAAACATTACAAAAGAAACCAGCCACTAAAGTAGGTATACTGTTTGATTTCATTACTATCAAGTTTAAATACAGGAGAAACTAATATTATATGATGATGGGAATCAGAACAATGATTTCTGAAGGGAATAGTGGAGGAAGTGACAGAGATAAAAAGAGCTTTCTGGCAAATGTAATTGTTTTCTATCTTGATAGAGGTATATGTTACACAGGTGTATACAGTTGTCAAAATTCATTGAATTGTACACTTAAGATCTGTGCATTTTGCTGCATAAAAAAATTTTTAAACACATAGAGAAGATAATGGATAATTCTGTCTGATCAGAGAATCAAAATTTTTAGGAAAACAATGATACTTGAGCTTAACCTTAGTTATGAGGATGGTAACAACACATTTCTGTGGTACCTGGAGCAGTTAGAATAGACGTCAAAATAAGCTAATTTCTGCAAAAGTGCTTCATAAAGCATAAATTCCTCTATAAATAAATGATGTTTTCTTTTATTTATAGCATCAACTATAAATATTTTTAATATGACCATCAAAAATTGTTTTCTTTCTCCCCTTAGCCAAGCCAGTTTGCCATCTCTAATCCATAAGCTGTCCACTTCATGACTAGATAACTGTGGCAGACCATACAGCTACATGGTATCCCTGCCTTAACTCATCCCAGTGTTCAGTCTGGTGTTTAAGCGAACACTAAACTGTCTCCCTGAAACCCTTCCTCTATCCTACCATTCTTCACCCAGATCAACAATCCCAACTATTTATACAATCGAATCTCAAATCCTTTATGAGGCTAACAAAGCCCTCTGAAATTCAGCCTTGCCTTCCCTACCTATACCAACATGTTTCCCATTATTCCTAAAGTCTATACTATTGCAGTCAGGACAGTGTCTTCATTATGTTCCCAAAATCTGCTCATTCATGCTGCCCACTATTCACTTGAAATATCTTTCCAACATCACTTTGCCCATCAAAATATTGACTACCTTTTCCATGCCACATTCACTGACTACTACTCAGCCTACATCTCCTCTGGCTGCCACCATATCTGTCTCCCATCATTCACAGGACAAACTTTCCACAGAAGTTGTCTCTTCTCACTGACTCCATCTTCTCAGCTCCTGTTCACTCAACTCACTCCTGTTCAGCTTCTTCCCTCACCAATCCACCAAGATGGCCAAGTCACCAATACCTTCTCCATATCACCAAGCCCAAGACACTTTTTACTCATTTCATAACAATTCAGAAGTGTTGGTAACCACTCCCCACTTCAAAGTGTCTCAATCCTTGGCTTTCACAGAACAGCATTCATTTGTTTCTCTGAACTTTCCTCTATTTCTTTTGCAGGCTCAGCTTCTTTACCAATAAGAATATATTAGAGTGCCTTCGTATACATTCCCAAGTCCTCACCTTTCTTTACTACTACACTTTCACCTGTGTCCATAGATTCAG